TTTCACAAAGTAACTAACTCATCTTTCCCCTTTTCCCTTTTAATTTAGCAATTTCTTGATTTTCAGGCAATCAACAGTGACAAACTGTTGGCAATGATCCTGGTAGATAGAGGTTTTTATTAATCTATTAGGGAAGTGAAATGTTGTTCTCAAAATCTGACTTAGAGTACTTTTGTATGAAGATGAGTTAGTTACTTTGTGAAAGTCTATAAAATATTGTAAATTAATTTTCAATTTTTCAATAAAGACATGTCATTGTGACATGATTGCGGGTTAATAAAAAAATAAAATAAAATAAAATGCAATTATTATAATATATATATTTCTTTATTATATAATTAATAAAGTTTGAATGCTTTTTTAAGTTTTATAAGTATTTGAACTTGATTTAAGTATTTTTAAACATATTTCTTGTAAATTAATGATTATAGAGATGGTTTTTCTTTATTTCTAAAAAAATTATCAAAAAAAAAAAATGAATTTTTTTAGAAAATAGAAATTTGTAAAAAAAAATCAAAAGATTGTTTTTAAAAGTATTAAAAAAAATTATAGATATTTTAATTGAAGGAATATTTTTTAATAATGATTACAAATATTTGTAATTAATAATTAAAAATTTTATAAAATTTTAATTATTTACTTAAAAATATAATATCTTATATTATATTATATAATAATTAATTCTAAAGCTTTGAAGTAATATGAATAAATCATTAGTATTAAATATTGTATATAAATATTATTTAAAAATTTATAATTAAAAATTTTCAATTTCTTTGAATGATTTTTGAAATAAAGGTCATGTTATTTAAGAATAAATATATACATGTTTAAATATCAAATACTCCAATTGATCTTTAAAATCACTATATTTTTAATAAAAATAGTATTGCACATGCAATAAGTACCGTAAACCACTGCATACAATACCCCCCTAAAGTAATACCCCCCCTTAAATAATACCCGGTAGTATTCAAGAAAATTGTTACTCAATAAATGATTACTACCCGGGTATATTAAGCTAGAGCCAATAAAATTGCAGTATGAATGGGCAAGTGAGAGATACTAAATATCCCGCCATTTATACTACCCCCCTTCTAGTAGAATACCCCCCCGGGTACTAATCAATTTATCATGGGGTTAATTGATTAATACCCGGGGTATTGTATGCAGTGGTTTACGGTAGTACTGGCAAAACTTTCAAGTTTCCAAATATGTACGCATATTCTAATTCTTGTTACTCCCGTATTTGGTACGATTTTCAAATTCCAAAATTTCCTAAATTGTACATGCATTCTGATTTTATTATTCCCGAATTAATACAATTTTTCTGAACTATGAATTTCCTAATGTACTTACCGTACAACATACTGCATTGATTTATGCTTAAATATAAATTCATAGTTCGGAAAATTTTCTCGAACATGGTATCATAAAGAAAAAATGTTCATACATAGCATTGCCGATGTCTTTTCTATCTTGTTGGTCCTCCTTATCATATATATAACTCATTATTATTATAAATATTTCACTCGCGAAAATCCTCTCCCAGGACCAATCCCCCTTCCTTTAGTTGGCAATCTTTTTCAAATATATGGTGATATTGGCGAGTGGCCAAGCAAATTTCAAGAGAAATATGGTGACATGTACGAAATTTATTCGGGCCCTCAACGAATTGTCTGGCTTTGCAGCGAAGGCTTAATCAATAAAATAATGAAACCAAAAACTCATAGCAATTTTCATGACCTGGTGAAGTCAGACAATGAGGGTCTTCGAGAAATTGGTGTACTAGAGTCAGGAGTCATCTGTAACATAAACTATAAAAACTGGGAGTATTATCGGAGGTTTTATGCAAGAACCATTCTAAGACACTCGGTGTTGAGTACGTTCGTGCACAGTATTATGGAAGTGTTTAATGAGATGGAAAATTATTGGGAGCAACTTGGGGATGAGACCGTGCTGGAATTCTCAAAATGGTCGAAAAGATATTTTATGGATTCAATATTTTTTGTAGCCACCGGGAAACCAGCATATTCGATGGCCAGTTATTATAACAGTTTATCGACTGATAAAAAGATATCCGTATCTGAAAGTAATTTAAAGGAAAGCGATACTTTTTTAGAGGCTATCGATGCCTATAGCATGTCTCTTATATATTTTATGTTGTTTCCAAAGTTTATAAGAAACTTCCCGGGATTTAGCGGGTACACCCGGAAATTGAAAAGTCGAGTAAATTGGTTAAGGAATAATATCTATAACATTATTAAGGAAAGAAGAGAAGAGATTGAAAGAACACCAGAAGATCAAGAATTAGCCAATGATATATTGACAATGTTTTTAACTATCAATACGTCACGTGATATTACTGAAAAAATCGCAGATAGTCTCCACGATAAACCCATGACTGATGAAGAAATTTGTGGCAACTTTGTTGAAACGATGACGGGTGGTTCAGATACGGTAAGTAATTTTGCATCGAGTCAATGTACAGTATATTTATAGACATATAAACCGAATATATTTTTAATATTTAGGCATCCAATTCTATCTGCTTCTTAATTCACAGCCTGTCTCATCATCCAGAAGTTAAAGAAAAATTAATAGAAGAGATTGATAGAGTATTAGGGAAAGATCTTAATTATAAGCTTACTTACGAAAACGTGGCAAAACTTGAGTACTGTGAGGCGGTGATCAATGAATGTACGTAAAGCTTGTTGCATTCTCTTATTTGTCAACATTTAAGTAAGTGCGTACTGCATTTACAAAATTTCGTTATTTATTTTATGTAGGCTTACGATTATTCACCATTGCTCCTATTCTACCCAAAAAAAATACTAATCCTGATGAGATCGGTGGTGTAAAATTTTCTGCAGATACACAATTTATCATAAATGTTCAAGGTATCCATAAGCACAAATTTTTATGGGAAAATCCGGGGGAGTTTATTCCCGAGAGGTTTATGGGTGAAGCCGGCGTAAAAAGCAAAAATTCATTTTACGCTTTTGGCGGTGGACTGAGAAAGTGTAAGTTGATTTTATTGCAAATGTATGAACTTATTTCGCGCATGTTTTATATAAACAAAAACATCCTTTAAAATAGGTGCCGGAAGAAATTTTGCAATGTTAGAGTTAAAAATTACTTTGGCTATGCTATACGGAAAGTATAATGTCGAACTAGTGGATAGGGATGCACCGATTAAGTTTCACACCACCACAGTTCGAATTTGTGATGAACTAAAACTCAGAATTAAGAAAAGAAAGATTTAATTAGTTATTCAGATTAGAAACAACGTTTTGTATATTCGAGTAAATTTCAACTTGTTATTATTATTGTTATTATTTTTTTTTTTTAAAAATATTTATTGTGCCTCCATGCAATGTATATCTCACTAGTTAAAACCAAATCACCCTGTAAATGCCCTACCCTTTTACATCCCTGCTCGCATAATAAAATTAACATCTGAGAATTCTATTTAATTTATCACATTGATTGTTTTCTCGGTTATGAATATTCACTGCAAAATCGACATTTTAATGAATGTGATATTTATTTCATTATATCGATATAATGTATGCATATATTTTTAGTATGTTTGCAGCTTCGAATGCACAAAAGTGAATGATTTTTTCGTAAATTCAAATAGCCTCTATTTTTACAAAACTTTATGCAATTCTTGTTTGTAAAATGATGCACTTCTTTACTTGTTTGTCGCAGATCGTGTATCAGTGACAATTCATATGTATTCTCTTCAAAATCGTTATTCTTTTTGTGCATTACTTTGCGCTTATTCCCAACCATTTTTATCCCTTGTTACATTTATTCTTTCTATTTCTCTACTAACTTTAGTTTTCTCAATGTTTCTCGAATTAATTTAGGAAAGGTTTGCGGGATTTTTGTTTGCGTTGCTAATCATCACATTTGGATTTTAGTATTCGCGAACACCCTAATGGGGGGGGGGGTTTGGAAGCATATTATGCAATAACAATTAACGTACAGACGGGTGACACCGCATTAGGGCGATTTTTATAACACAAAAAAATTACTACGCATATTTTTTATTTTTTATATCTAAAAAAATAAACTATCAATGTGTTGCGTACCCCTTCTTTTTAATTACTTCTTTTACACGTTTAGGCATAGTATCTATAAATTTCTTAATTTTATCGAATGCAATACTATTCCATGCTGTAATAACTGTCTCTTCTAAATCAGATTTGTTACGTGGTTTTTGGTTTGCGTAGATCCAGATCTTGACTTCCCTCCATATGTTTTCAATAGGACTAAGATCTGGTGATTGTGGGAGTCACTTCATTGTCTTGATTTTAAGTTCAGACTTCATTTTTTGCACAATTTTACACTTGTGAATTGGTGCATTGTCTTCTTGTAAGATTGTCCCCTCAGTAGATAGAATTATTGGATAAACAATATCCAAAATAAGATCTCCATACTC